CACACACACACACACACACACACACACACACACACACACACACACATACACAGAGAGAGAGAGAGAGAGTTGGAATGGCCTTTCGAACTGACATGTTTGTGTTATGCCCCTGTCAGGTGCGTGTGCAAATTTGCTTGGCCTTTTGCAATTGCACCTACGAAAACTTGGCGACTGCCGTCCCATTTTGCCAAGTTGGGCAGCGTCCACTAGGGGTACATTGCAAAGACGGGATCCAACTGATGGCTGGGGTCTTTCGCAAAATGTTTTTGCCTCCGTCCTTCGCTGTGGCGGGTCCACTTGTTTTTGTAACAATAAATGCACATATGGAACCGGTCGTCAAAATGGTTTAGACGAGGAGCGTGACTGTCATCTTCTCCCGAACACAACACCCCACCATAATCATGAATGTTTTAGGCATGATGATTTGACAATGTGTGGCAAAGGAAGTGTGGTAAAGTAATACAGAAGATAGAAGGGGCCTTCCTCACACAGGCCTGCCGTCTTCACCCCAAAAGCACGGTTGCTCATGATAGCTGTACACTGGACGAATTTCAAACGAGAGTCCAGCAAGCTATATATAACGTCTAGGTGTTCTGTTCGGGGGAAGACGTTAGCATTCGACATCAAGGAATCTGGGTGGCCCCTGCACCTAATCAGGAAAGGTCAGGCCCTAGTACCGCAAAGTGCACGCACTTCCTTCTTGGGCACCAGAAAACCAGAGACGACCATCTGTGGAGTGGGACGTCTGAGAGCTTCTCCCATGGTGTTTCGCCTTTCATTGCGTCCTTTCTTTCTCAATGCCAAGCCATCGACCAAACGCATTATTTTCGGACACAGCAGAGACTTATTCCAAAGACTTGAAAAGCCCTGGCTTTTAGACGACCACAGTATCTCTCTGCACCTGACCTGCAGAGGAAACAAAGCCCAGTACGGTACCAGTTTTCTTTTTTTTATAATTTGGCGATTCTCACCATTTCTCCATATATGCATTTCAACCTTCCGCAGGGGCCATGCGACGAATCGTCTCCGTATCGTTCCAATTTAGCGGACGTCCTGAAGGACAGGTACCTGCCTACAAGGCCCAGTACTGTACAAGTTTTTTGACGGTCCCGAAGTGTCAAATCAGAGACTACACAGTCGCCACTTTGGAAAAAAGTGGGGGCCTTTCCTCGAAGTAGTGGACCAGTGGTGGTTTAATTCCCGCCAGAGCAACCTCCCAGCGTCTCTAATTTTGCACGAAGCTGCCGAAGCATCAAATAACTCGGACCTCGATGGTTTAGTTGCTATGGATTTCCCCTGTCAACGGGGACACTTTAAGTCCAACAGAGATTCAGGGTCGGGACACGGCTTATATATATATCGTCAAATAGAACTGCCCGGTAAACCGTAGGCAGAGAGGGAGAAGAGGACAACAAACGAGGGGCTGTGACAAACTGTTTCGTCGGAGTTTCACCGACTCATCAGGAGGCTGATATATATATCGTCACAAACAGAGCTGCCCGGTAAAACCGTAGGCAGAGAGAGAGAAGAGGACAACAAACGAGGGGCTGTGACAAACTGTTTCGTCGGAGTTTCACCGACTCATCAGGAGGCTGAACCCTATATATATATATATATATATATCGTCAAATAGATATATATATATAGGGGCAGTGGCAGTCAGCTGCATCGCTATGCATCTCAGCACAAAGTTACAACCCTAAACCAAAAAAAAGAAGGCAGGGCATACTCACACTAGAACTTTCCAGAATGCATCTGACTGCAATTACGACGGGGCCAGAGCAGGATGAATCGGACTTCGATCACGTCCAGGGCATTGTCGAAAAGTTTTGGTGTGAGTAAAGCACTTAGTGTCGCCCACGATTGAAGGAGTCAGTCACGACCAAGAACAACAGACGACGTAAGGGAATCATGCACGTCCTTCACTCCACGTGGAAAAGAAAAAAAGGAAGTGCTATCCGCAGCTGTACGTACTGCTGAAATCATTTCTTTTTATTTGTTAATGGCATCGCTTTCCTCATGACACAGAAAAGTCGATCGAGCAATCCCCATCTCACTCGCAAAGGAGGACAATCCTCACAGCACAGGACCGGTCGTCAGAACACTCAAACTCGATTGCAATGAATCTCCAGGTTCGTTCAGCTGAGAAAAGATGTAACGTCAACTTTACGATCACTCTGCATGTCATGACTGGGACCACCACCAGCCACAAAGGAGCCGAGGCCACCGAGCAGAAGAGGTCAAAAATGTCATTTGCAAACATTAATTAGCACAAGATCGATGACAGATAAGGAGGAGGGAGGTGCAGGGAGGTGAAGGAGAAAGCGGAAAAAGATAAGCAGGCAACAGGGCTGAGACCCCCAGCATAGACTCCCAACTACACTGGTCTCTGATGATCCGCCTCAACTTAATGCTGCTCCTCTGCGTCATCTAATTCTTAGAGAAGCTACCTAGCCATCGTCATATCACTCCGGCTCGTCCTGATCAAACAGGTCCACGAACCACAGAAAAAAACGGAACATTCAATCAATCAGTCGAAATTCATAAAGCTACTTACTAGACCAAAAGTCTTTCACAAAGTAATAACAGCAGCCGTGCTTCAGCACCGCAGCCTCCCTGCCGGAACACTGAATCGCTCGGTCAAAATTTTTGTAACGCTCGCTCAAAACGAGTCGCTGCCATAATTGCAGAGCTCTGCTTCAGCACCACAGCTTCCCTGGCGGTGGTCTTTGCCTGCCATCAGGAACCGTGAACAGAACAATCGGCTTCCGCGGAGAGACGTAGGGTACATCGCAGACGAAGTACCCTTTCCTCTCCAGCTGAAAGATCTCGCCTTTCTTCAGGTTGCGCATATTGGCATCGCCAACCGCCGCTGTTTCCATTTTCGTGACAGGATTCAGGACTGACAGGAAGTCGTCATCCTCCTCGAGCTTCTTCTTGGTTATCAGATAGTCGAAATCGACGAGATTCAGCAGAACGAGGTCGTTAATCTGAGGCAGCCAGGTCAGCTTCAGCTTCGTAGTCTTCACGGAACCCTCCGGATGCAAGTCGCCTTCAAGTCCCGTCACTTTGCCGTCCTCATTCTTCGTCACTTTTCGAACAAATGCATTCCCCCAATCCATCAGCGTCACCTCCTCGCCCTCCGATACAGCCAATGCGTCGGCCTGATCTATCCACACACTCCTCGTAAAAGTTGTCGCTTTCTGTCCTGCTGGCTCGTACTTCTTGTGTCTCGGGATGATCTTCACAAACGCCTCGACCGGCCCATTTGCAAAGGTGAACAACACCTTGCCCTCCTCGACGACTGCTGTGTGGCGTGCACAAACTGGATCTACGATCTTTTTGTTGATCGTCCATAGCTTGTCCATCTCCATCAGATTCAAGTTCTTCGATGCACCTTGGGAGACGATAAACTCCCTCAGCGCTTCCACAGTCAGCCCTCTTCTAATCATACCTTGCACCGTAGGAAACCGCGGATCGTCCCATCCGTCTACGCGGCCGTTTTCCACAAACCACTGAAGCTTTCGCTTTGACAACAGGGTATAGACAAAGTTCAGACGGCTGAAATCCCAAATGTGAACCTTCCGGACACCCATGTCGTCGAGCACTCTGTAATACTGATCATTGCGGTCATGATACTCGCTCGACCTCAGAGCATGTGTAACACCTTCAACGCTATCCACATACGGACAAGCAAAATCGTAAGTCGGGTACAACTTGTATTTCGATCCTGTCCTGTTATGCGGAGTTTGGTTGCAGCGATAATAGACCGGATCGCGCAATGCCTTGTTGGCCGCCTGCATGTCCATCTTCCCACGCAGACAGAACACCTGCCCCTCGGGCTTTCCCTCGACCATCAGCCGCCAGTTTGCCAGATTCTCCTCCACAGTAGCGTTCCGCCTCTTCGACTCTATTCCGTCCATCCTCTCTTTCCTCATCTGCTCCACTGGCGTATCGTCCACGTACGCTTTCCCCTCCTTAATCAGCCTTTCCGCCAGCTGCAGCAGCTGTTCAAAATAGTCAGACGTGTACGTGACGGGAGCATCTCCTTTGATGCCAAGCCTCGCCAGATCTGCAAGGATCGATTCTTCGTACTCCTCTTTCTCCTTGGCAGGATTGGTATCGTCAAATCTGATCAGCAGCTTTCCCTTGTACATCCTCGCAAAGTACTCGTTCAGCAGTGCCGCTTTGGCATGGCCAACGTGCAAATATCCGCTAGCCTCAGGGGGGAACCGCGTCACAACCTTTCCCTCCTCGGCACCTGGAAGCTTCACATCAAAGGAGCCTTCAACCTTGTCTGCCTTCCCACCCCCTCCCTTCTTCTCTTGCTGTGATGCTCCGGCTGCCCCTGCTGCTGCTGCCGCCGATGCACCTTTTTTCCCCCGAGGCGCATACCCCAGAGCCACTTCCGCCAAAACTGGTACCGCCTCCGTCAGCTCATTATACCATCTGATAAGCTTGGGGAACTTCGGCTTCGGTGATTTCCGCAGGCTTTCCCAGCGTGGTCCCACCAACAGTAGCTGCTCCCAGATAGCAAGATCTGCAAGTGAGAGCTGCTCCCCAACCAGGAACTTGTTGCTGCCCAGCTTCCCATCCACGCTTGCACACGCCTTTTCAAATTCAGCACCAACGGAAAAGGTGGGCGCATAGTCGATCCACTCGTCAATCTGACTTGCGTGCGCACCATACAGCCCGTCCAACTTGCTCTCTACGCCAATGAACTTCAGCAGGGCAGGTCCCTCCACAACCTCCTCCGGCCCCTCGGCTGAAGGGACAACCAGCCGGGGCTTCACATTCTTGCCAGCGCTCTCGCCAGGCTTCAGCTCGACCGTGCAAGCTCCACCAAGCTTCTCAGCTGCAATGACAGCCAGGGGCGGCACAAACTGCGAAAAGTGCAAGGTACGCGCCGCCACCATCTTCGCTCCTGCGCAGTGTCAGCGCAAAGCTTGTTACAACCCTAGTTTGACTCGACTCTATGTGCCCCAAGCATGAGGACGACGACGACAATGCACAACACTTCCTCTCATTAAACACAAGTCAATTCCGCGCTTTCAGAATCATATCAGACCCATGCAGTAGGGGATTAGCACCTGTCTCGACTTCACAACATCAGTTTCTCAGACAGCTGGAAGGCGGACGGTTTGTACAGAGCTAGAGGGTAGGATCGCAAAAACTCCGCACCTCCTGCTGCGATAGCATCAATCTACTGATATGCTTCGCAGCATTACGCGTAACACTTTAACCATACTAGCTGCAACCGCTCAGGCATTATCACAGAAACCCCAAACGTAACCATTATTCATTACAGACGATATAAAGGCTTGTTATAAAGGCTGGAATATTCATGAAAAGGGAGGGTGAAGCTTGGGAGGGCCACAGGGTGCAGGGACTGGCGAGTGGGATGGAAGGAGCGGGAGCCGAATTCCACATCGATTATCATGACAGACACGGATTGAGCGCCCCTTTGCTCGGAGCGTCAGAACAAAGTCCCAAATCCGTGCAAAAAAAACGGCAGACAGCAATAAATACCGTAGACATGACCCGTTTGATGGTCCCACGCACCAAATTGCGGACAGGCTTGAGTCAAGCCGCAATCCTAATCAACCAAAAGATCTGAACAGCGAGATTCGCACCTGTCTCTTATACACATCTAGATGTGTATAAGAGACAGACCGTAGACAGGACCCGTTTGATGGGCTCACGCACCGAATTACAGAGCGGCTTGAGTCGAGCCGCAATCCTAATCAACCAAAAGATCTGAACAGCGAGATTCGCACGCGCCATCGCGACTGGAAAAACCTGCTACCTGAATCCGCGCCCTAATCGACTGCCAAAGGTGGGTGCACTTCAACTCAACGCACAAAAGGCGTGATCTTCATACAGTTAGGGTGACAGCCCAATCTTGATTTCCACATAGCAGCATGACCCAGTGAGGATTTAGAACAGCACGGGGGAGAACAACAGAATCGCTCAGGGCATACTCACACTAGCACTTCCGGAAACGTATCTTCTGACTGCAGGGATGGACTGGCCTGGATGAATCTGACAATGATCTCGTCCGGAGTTTAGTGGAAAAAGGTCCTAGTGTGAGTAGGCCCTCAGAAGGGATCACACAATACCACCTCCCCACAAGTCATACTCTTTCCGCTGGGACTTCCTGTTGGTCGGTTTTAAATGAGTACTAGGCGAGAGAATATCGGTCCCCAAGAATGAATAGGCCTAGCTCAGTTGGCACACGCATGACTTGTTGAAATGCAGACCCCAAGTTCGAATCGAGATGCAATCGGATGATCAGAATAAAATAAATTATGAATTGCCTGGGGCCGTTAAGTTCCATGATGACCTCTCAAAGCCTTCGCCTTTTTCATATCATAGAATGAATTGGAACAAAACAGAACCCAAGGATGTGACCTAGCTACCATCCTTCTTCTTCTTCTTCTTCTGGATACCATCAGCGTTTTCATCTTCTCAAACGATACCGTTGTCTCTTGTTTCTAAACACGTCTTTTCCAGTCTTCTCCGGCCCACATTCTGTCCTCGCCTCCGTGTATATGACTCGTCCGTCACCTCCAAATCTCTATTGACATCGCTCGTCTGTCCTATTCACCTGTGTCTTCTGTTTCATCTACATACGCCATCACCATTGCCAAGAGGGCAATCCTTCGCCTTTATCTACATGATTACCTTTTTTATCTACTTGACATCTCCGCTGCCGTTTCCTAATTATAGATCATAGTCATCCTGGTCTTCATCTCGCTTACCATAACATATCCATTATTATAACAATAACATATAAGAGCCCTCGCCTATACGACTGCCAACCTCATCTCCATCCCGATCTCGATTGTGTACCGACTTCCCTGCATACTCACCTTTTCATCTCCATATCCATTGTGTACTGGCTTCCCTGCCTGTTCAGCTTGTATCTCTATTCATTTTTCTCGTGTGTATATCCCCCGCCTCTTGCCGGCGCCTTCCCTGCGTCTTCCCTGCCTCACCCACTGAGAGAATCATACTTGATGCCATATATGGAAGCATTACCCATTACACCTTCGGAGAGACTACAGTCTTCCCCTGAATAAAACGTACAGTCCTTATCGCTGTATCTATAGACTGAAAGTCGCCCCAAATACAGTTCTAATGACCGTACATTCTATCCTGGTGCAGACAGCCCATGTGCTGAGCTGTCGTTCATCTTACGCACATGTATAACCGAAGCTTCACAGAACATTCCAATAATCACGCACAGCATTGCAACATGCATGCACATGCACCCCCGACAACCAACACACACACACACACACACACACACACACACACACACACACACACACACACACACACACACACACAGAGGGTCCTACAACAGTGTTGTGCACACAAAGCAAGTACATGAGAAAGAGAAGAGCCCAAACAGACGCAGGATGCACAGCACATGACAGCCAACTGGCTCTGTTCTCTGCTTTCTTTTCGACGAGACAAGACATGCACAGAAGCATGTACGCACTATATATCGTCACAAACAGAACTGCCCGGTAAACCGTAGGCAGAGAGAGAGAAGAGGACAACAAACGAGGGGCTGTGACAAACTGTTTCGTCAG